TGAGCTCCTTGGTCGTTTATATTCTAGACAAGAAGACATTTGTCAAATTTGATCATTATTTCTTCATATAATCTCTCTGTCCCTTTCACTCTGTCCTCCTTCTGGTACTCCCACGGTGCATATGTTGGTCCATTTGATGGTGTCCCAAAGGTTCCTTAGGCTCTGTTTAGTTTTCTTCAGTGGAGAATAGGGGTACAACAATGACTGCCCACCTCTCTGTCTCCACCGCCTTGATCAGAAGCAGTGACCAGTGATCAGAGCACAGATCTCTAATATTTGGAGGACAGGGCCCTTATTGCTCACCCTACATGCGGTCTGCTCCAGGAACAAGTGCTGCCTTCCTCTGGGCTGGGAGGTGGGGGTTAATTACTGTTGAACTAAATAGAGAGATAGGCCAAAATTAACTTCATCTAACATCCAGGCATTCTCCTAGAAGTTGCAAGCCTTTAAAAGACTTCAGAGGTCCAAAGTAGTTATATGAGACAGATTCTGCCATTGAGTCTGTTGTCTGGGTTAGGAGGTAGATTCCTGGTGCTTCCTAACCCACCATCTTCCCAGGATCTTCTCATGCAGTAGTCTTCTAGTTGGGGATGTAACTTAGAAACAGGCAGGTGGGAGAGGTACATAGGGCAATGAGAATATTTCAAAACTTTCTTTAAGCAAGGGGGTGAAGTTCTCTATTATTATTAAAGTAACTTAATAATAGTAAAGACAATCATTGTATAATTTACATCAGTTTGAGAAGTGTCCAACTTATGCAGTAGACCTGTTCATTTTTAAATGTCATTTGCTTAATGTTGAGAATTTCATCACAGAAAGTTATAATATGGAGATAATGTTTCCTATAATTTTGTAGAGCCATCTCTATGTTGGGGGAAAGAAATGGATACAGAATAACCTATGCAAGAGCCATGGAGCACACTGTCGCTCAGCTTGCTGATGTAAATAGTCAAAAGGTTAAGCCATCAGTCCATTTCCCAGTTTCTACTGAATAGTGGCTTTCTTTGTGTTGCTTCACTTGTTAGAGCAATATTGAGAGATAAAACAAAGCAGGTCTTACATAAGACACTGATGGCTTTTTTAAAAGTTGGAATGGGATGTTATTGGATGTTCTAAAGAGTTTATTGATAGTACCTTTTTTGTGGAAACCATTGTTCCCAAGTAAACAGTATTTGGAAATCAACATTATACATCAGTAATGCTCAGGTAAACATAAATACATTTATATGTTTAGTGTGCCAATTTTAGAGAATATTGTTGTGGGCTTGGGAGTGATTTTAAAAGCAAAAACACTTTTTGAAACAGCCTTAGGTTTTATTTTCCTTAGCCACTTAATTGAGGTAGATATTATATCTAGATAAGTAAATCTTTTATTTGTAAGTTGTAGCTTTAAGCATAACATAAAAGGGAAACCAATTAATTAGGTATAGAATGCTTTTGAAGGCATGAAATGCTATTTAGGACTTTTCCTATAATGGCCACAGAGTATTTCTTGAGCGTCCATGCAGATGAGATCTTGAACAGCTGCATGGAGCACACAGAAGTCATGATTCCTGCCTCTGTGAACTAACTTGAATAAAGTCTTTCATCTAAAGGTCTCACTGTTTATCTATTTCATGAATCCCTCATCTAATCTCTGAAGGGCTCATTCAGTTTAATACAGTTCAACTTTGTGGTGTAGTGCTCTAGAAATTGCTGTTGTGACTTATAATGCACAAAAAAGACAAAGTAAAGTAATTTAAGGATTTTTTAAAGATTTAGATAAAATCCACACTAAAATGGCAGGGTTCTTTCTGCAGATATTTAGAGTAACTAGATTCTGAATTCAAATATAACTAGTTACGTGATCTTAAGTAAATTCTGTATCCTCTTAGTGTCCAAGTTTTCTGTGGTCATAGCAAAGGCTACCAGAGTTCAGAGGAATAAATGTTTTGAAATGCTTGTTCAGTTCATTTGTTTAACATAATTCAGTCCGGCTCATAATCTGAGGCTCATATCATATCTCATGTTCTGTATGAAGTGTTCTTCCACCACTTTAGCAATGATTAAACTGAAAAAATGTCACTAGCATATCATTTAGATGTAATGTTTTTATATAATAAAGAGGATCCATTTCTTTAAAAAAAAGATTTTTTAAATTTACTTATTTTTAGAGAGGGGAGGAGAGGGAGAGAAACATCTGTAGGTTGGCTCTGGCATGTCCCCAACTGGGGACCTGGCCACAACTCAAGCATGTGCCCTGATGGAGTCGGACTGGTAACGGCTGCTGACAACCTGTCAGTTCGCAGGCCAGTGCTCCATCCATTGTGCAACACGTGCCAGAGCTCATTTAGATGTAATTTAACTAAATATCAGGTGACCTTTTCCTCATCTCTGTACTTACGTCAAATATTGACGTTTATTTGACAGCAACCTTTGTGTTGCCTCCCATTTTATGTTGCCTACTTCTTATTCCTGTCTACGTGAGTTCTTTGAATTCAGGGAATAGAACTCATATAAACCTTCACAAAAAATTAATCTGTAATGCTAACTATGGAATAAACTTCTGTTTGTTTGTTGTTTGTTTTCATTGCTTTGAAGTATACACACAAGTTCCCTTCCAAAAGTGGAGAATGTCAAATTTGACTTTAATTTTCCAAGGAAATTATTTCTAATGTTTAAACTACCTGGTCATAATCTTAGAAATCTAGTATAGTTCCCCCCTCTTCCCCCACCTTTGAGCATATGAAAATTAGGATCTAGGAAAATTTTGACTCAAACATTTATAACTGAGAATGGCAAAAACATAAAAAGAGTTTGGGTATTATACATTAGAAATAAAATAATGTGGGTGACCTTTACTTATACAACAAGTGAATATTACTGGCATCAACTAAATGTTTGGCTCTTTGCTGCTATAGCCTGGAAATACCATGATTAAAAAAAAAAAAAAAGGACAAGATTTCTACCTGATGGAGTTTATAGTTAGTAAGCAGACAAAATAATACTTAAACCAGACAGTAACAGTGTAATACAGATTATGAATAACTAGGGTGGCATAAGAGAGAATAACTTGCTAGAAGGTGAGGTCTTTGTATACAGCAATTAGAAAAGGCCCCATAGAGAAAAACAAAGTACAACACAAAGGATAAGGAAGTGTCTACATTGTGGTCTCTAAAATGTGGTTTCTCTCTGCAAGGACTCAGAATTCCTTGGAAAACTAGCTTACTGAAGATCTGGAATAGGAACTGCAAAAAAAAACAAAAAACAAAAAACAAGAAACTATCAAAATCTGTTGGGGTCACATGATACGGGAGCCAACTTGGAGGGACTCCCACTGACCACAGGTGTTACAATTAGCACATGGAAAGAATAGTGATTGAAATAAATTGAAACATACCTTTTATTCAAAATATATGAGTTCATAATGTTACTTTAAAAATTCATTGTCCACCTTAGGACTGAAACTGGGCAATGAAATATTTATCTTGCCTTTCCTCTGAGGTAACCAAATTGTTTAAAAAGAGTTCTTTAAAAAGAATTTTAGCTAGTGAATGCAGAAAGAATGGTAAACTATTCTACTTTAATGAAATGAAATACCTAGGCAGTGAAGCTTCTCATATTTTCATAATAAACTTTTGAATATTTTGTGTTAGAAAATTTTAAAATAAGTTTAAAGAAGAGCAGTGAGAATTCACCGGGTAGAAATGGGAGTGGTGGAAAGGAGTTTCCCACAAATAGAAACAGTATAAATAAGTTGTACAAGTGAAAAAATACTGTACATATTCAGGGAAGACTTGGTAATTGAGTTATCCAAAATACAAGGTATGTAAGTGGTAGTATTGTGGATATGCAGTTATATGTGAGTTCTTAGAGTTCACAGTCCCTGGAATTAGTAAAACTAAATTATTGCCAAGTTCAAAAGGAACTTGAGAGTCAAAGGAGCTTCTCTACAGTTCCTACTACCCTTTGGCTCATTGAAATTGTAAACGGAAGTACTCAACAATAGAGTTCATGAAACAAAGTTGATTTGGCAGCAGACCTTGGTAGAAGGGTATCATGTAGAGAAAGCAGCATTAAATTTACTTGGGCAACCTCTGCTTAAAGTATACAATCTATTAATGTGATTGCTCTTTATCTCAACATTTTATTTATTATTTTCAAAGTTGTATATATGGAGGTGAGCATCCCAAAGTGATTTCTAACCCATTACATTTGTCCCTGATACAGTGTTAGAGGGCCACTTATTTTCCCATCTAAAGGCAATATATTCTGTATTTAGAGTGAGTAGTTTAACCTTACTTGCCAACAAAAGTCTTCCCTATTCGAATCCTGATACCCACCATTCCTATTAGAGATAAATACTGTTTTGTTCAGGTTCATGTTGTATGGATAACAGTAAATGGGTGGGTATATTTCTTTGTAAAACTAATTTTTTCATTTGAAGTGATTTGTGCCGTGATGTTATTTAAAAAGCCAAAAGCCCTTAAAATCCGCCTTGAAAAATATTGGCATGGAATAACACCAAGGTTCAGTCATTGATTTTTTTTATTAGCCAGTGTTTATATCTGTCTGCTCCAAATGTTATTACCATTCCTGGTATATGAAGATTTGGCTGCTGGAATTTAGAAATGCAGTCCATGCCACAGCAGAGGAACAGTGGAACACTGAGATGTCAGGCTGTGTAATCAGAGCCTTGTGGAGGTGACAGCTGTGTTCCCTGTGATATCCCAGAGGCGGTTTGTCTTTATGGCTGGTCACATAGTTGGGTGAAGTAAAAACACATATCAGCTTCCAATTTTCTCTTTCTTATACTCGCCCTTTTCCAAAATATAGAGACAAGAGAAGACTGACAGTAATGAAATAAGAGAACAGTGTTCTACCCTTCAACATTGATTATTTATTTCAGAATTAAATTTATATTTGGAAAGATGGAATTTGCTAAGCACTTTATTTTAGGAAAAGAGTCTCCTTTACAACACAATACTTATTTTACAAAAAATATATATTTTTTTAAACAGGGTATCCAGAAGTTGGCTAGTCAATATCTGAAGAGAGATTGGCCTGGAATAAAAGCTGATGATCGGAATGATTACAGGTAACATAATTAAGTAGTTCTTGCCTGTTTTCTTTAAAAAATGGTTTCACTGAGAGCCAAGTCCCATGGAGATAATGTGACTCCATTTTTTTAATTGCTCCTTTATTTGCTGTGTTTTTAGACAATTTCAAAATTATAAAAAATGTTAATGTTTCACAACATAGACAGTCTATATAAAATAAATCATTTTATATATCTTAGACCAAGATTACATTTAATTAATTAATACTCACATACAGAATTTAAAGAGAGTAGATGACAATGAAACAAATTATTTCCTCAGCAATGTACAGATGAAACACATTGCAACAATAATGAAATAAGATTGAAATAATGAAACCATGATCATTGATCCTTTATTCCAAAACAAATTCTAAATTTGGAAAGATGGGATTTTGTGAGCCTAAGGGGAAAGAGTTTCTAAATTTGTTTGTTTAAAAACAGGGTATCCAGATTGATTGATTGATTGATTGATTGACTTACAAAACAGAGTATCCAGAAATTGGCTAGTCAATATTCCACATACACACTTTAAATAAAGTAGATGACAAAAGAATATAAATTCTGTCTTCAGTAACCTACAAATATCTTTAAAGTACTTGTCATTTTATTTAAAGTTAATGTCTTTTTGAGATTAATTTGTAAGTATTTATTGGCTTTGTGCTCAAGACTGTCCTTAGTATTGAGGGAACCAAAAGTCAAAGACGTATTTCAAGGTTTGCCCTCTCATTGGCGTTAAGACTAATGCCCATGAAACAGTAGTAGAGAACCCAGGGTAATTAAAAACTCACGTTGAAGTGTGTGGTTGCAAGTCTGTATATGAAATCATCCTGATAATGGGGATCAGATAATGACCCAATCCTCAGATAATTTCTTAATGAGGCTAGAAAACTGAAGGTACAGGAGAAACCCTAATAGTTCTTCACAATTGAAGGAATGACTGATAACTTGGAAGGTAATGTTATATACTATAAAGAGTAAATCCGTATAGTTACCACATAGAATAATAAAGGAAAACAGGAAAATGAAGATAGAGATTTTCATGTGGACTTGTCAGTATCTACAAAGTGACCCCATGAGGTACACAGTCATATAAATTATATAAATTTTACTCTTTTTATATACTGGGAAACTAAGTCTCAGGTTTTATGCCTTACTCAAGATCACACAGCTATTTAAACACAGTCATTTATTCATTCATTCTTTATCCACGAGATAGATGTGAAATATCTACTACATGCTAGCTGTGGAAGTAGACTTTAGGATTAGAGAGACTAGAGGATATGGTACCTGTCCTGAAGGAGCTTACAGGAGATGGCCACTGTAAACAGTTGCGGTATGCGGTATATAGATGCATTGGGACCGTGGAGGAAAATTAAGCTCCTAGAGCCGAGTCTTAAAGAATATGCAGGAGTTTGCCAGAGTTGTGCAAAAGGGAGTCTAAGTAGGGGTAATTCCTTAAAGGCATGGAGGAATTCGAAAATATAAATATTAGGTAACAGCAAGCAGTTCAGTGTGGCTGGGGTGAAGTATAAGGGGGAACCCAAGAACTCCCGGAATTTATTTATAAAAAATTGTGTATTTATTCTTCCATGTTTAAACTTCAGTCACCTTCAGAGTACTTCACTTGATACAATACACCTATGAAGACATTTTTTCCACTGCTCATAACAGTTTTTGAACTCATCAATATTAATGCCTTTTAGTGCTTCTGCTGGTTTTTGTTTCACCTCTTCCACATCGGCAAAATGTTTCCCTTTGAGGACTTTTTTCATCCGAGGAAACAAAAAAAAGTTGCTCTGGGTGAGGTCGGGTGTGTAGGGAGGGTGGGGCACAGGGGTCGTGCTGTTTTGGGTCAAAAACTGCTGAGCATTCAGCGTAGTGTGAGCAGGGGCACTAGTAAACCACCCATCATGAAATGGGCAAACTTATTGAAAGAGTCTTCAAAAAAAACTCACTGGTGCCAAATGCCACCTCTCACCAAAAAGCCAGCTGGTGCACTGATACAGATGGGTTCCTAGAACACTCACCTAGTGGGGGAAGACTGTACTACAAAGGGCCTGCCCTCCACAAGATAATTCCGGGGTTTTGGGGGTCCCTGGGTTGGAACGTGAGAGGAGTCGTATCATTCTGAAGGACTTTGCGTATCGCAGAGTTTCTTTTTCTACTTAGAGGATAATAGAACTATTGAAGAATTTCCACAAGAGGAATAGCATGTTCATCTTCACTTAGTGATAGGATGAAGGTGGATTAGAGGGATGTACGGAAGATTTTGGAAAGAATAGAATTGCAGGAATTTATTTCCCCATCATCTCTCATTTGAACCATGAAAATTATAGTAGAAACTAGGTCGTGGGGGAGATTTCAGAGATCCTTAGAAAACCGAAGCTAGAGGACTTTGCGATTGATTTAGCAGTTTTGTTTTTTTGTGTTTGTCACATTTGTTTTGAGACAAAGTATGCATGGTTTTCTATAATTACCAAACGATAAAGTAGTTTTCTCAGTATCTAAAATAGCTCTTGGGACATAGAAAGCACTCGGTCAATATTTGCTGACTGAAGAATGATGTTGAGGGATGAAGAGGAAGGACTATAGAATGACTCCCAGGTTTTTTAACTTGGGCAGCTGAGAGGATGGTGGTACTGTGGTGATAAAAAGACAGCATAGAAAGAGGAAGGGTGAGGGTGAGAATGGCAACTGCCAATTTTTTTTGTTTGTTTGTTTATTAGGAGTTAGTTTTCGTTCTGGCCATTTTACATTTTCCTTTTAATTTTTTTTTGTATTTATATTTGTATTGGTAGTTTAAAATTTCTTATCCAAGAAATGCATGTTTGTAGCATGTGCAACAGTATAAAGTGCAATCCCCGCTTCTTTCCCAAGCTGCTTCCACTCACATTTCTACTCCCTTAGAGTAATTGCTGCTAAAAGCACATGGTCCTTTCCTCCGTAAATTCCTGTGTGATGCACAAACATACACAGTTTTGCTGGTTTTAAAGGACTGGAATCATTATATACATATGTTTCCATAACTCCACCCTGCTCACACACTCACTTAAGAGTCTGTTTTAGGCCTCCTTTTGTGTCAGTATGTTCAGGTCCCACATGCCTTTTAATGGCTATGTTAGTGCCATAGTATGAGTAAATTGTAGTTTTGTTATCTGTTTCTCTGTTGGTAATTATTTAGTTTATTACTATTACAAAGAGTGCTATAGTGGATAACTTGTGTATGCATGTAGTTGTGTCTTTGTGGACTATGAAAGTATATTTATAGGGTAAATTTGTAGAGGGGGAAGTTCTGGATCAACCACTTATATATCTAAAATGTGGATATTACAATTATCCTTCATCAACTCTATATCAATATACAGTTTTGGGCAAAAGTAGGTTTACAGTTGTGAGAACACAAAATAGTTTATTTTGTATTATTATTTGTTCATTATTGTATTATTTTCCACACGAACAACCATAAGCCTACTTTTGCCATACCCTGTATTTTGCATTTCTTGTAATTTGATTTGAAATTGCTCATTCCTTTTAATTTTTTTGCCAACAGGGCATGTGGTCAGTCTTTTAAAATTTTTGCCAGTCTAAACAAGAACAGAGACAGAATCATGGGTCAGAGAGTGTTTTGATGGTTGTGAGATGGGAGGGGTTTGTGGGGGAGCGGGTGAAGCGGTGAGGGGCTTAAGTAGTACACATAGGAAGTTACAGAATAGCCATGGGGATGTAAAGTACAGTATTGGAAATGGAGTGGTCAAAGGACTTACACACATGACCCATGGACATGAACAGTAGTGTGGGGATTGTCTGAGGGAGTGGGGGATAGAGGGGGGCATTGGGGGAAATCAGGACAACGGTAATAGCATAATAAAATATAATTTAAAAAATAAAATCAATAAAAAAATAATAAAAATAAAAATTTTGCCAGTCTGATAATACATGCTTCATTTAATGCCATTGAACCACCTTCATTTGCCTGGAAACTGAACTTCTCTAACGCTGCTCTTTCTTGGACCTTTTTTTAAGGACATGTTTTCATTTCTGTCTTTGTCTGTTCAGGCTGCTGTAACAAATTTCCACAGACTGGATGGCTCATAAATAATGGAAATTTATTTCTCACAGTTCTGTGGGCCGGAAGTCCGAGCCCAGGGTGCCAGCACGTTGGGTTCCAGTGAAGTTCCTTCTCAGAGTTGCAGACTCCTTGACTTCTGGTTGTGTCCTCACGCAGGGGAAGGGGTTAGGGAGCTCTGTGGGACCCCTTTTATCAGGGCACTAATCTGCTTTATGACCTAATCATCTCCCAAAAGCCTTGCCTCCTAATACCATTACCCGTGGGGGTTAGGATTTCCACATGTGAATTTTGGGAGACGCACATATTCCAACCATAGCAAGTTCTTTTTATGTAACTGTTTCCCAAAGTTCCCTCAGTTCTCTCGTGACTCTTTTGAGGACTCTTATCTATAACCCTGTCTTTACTATTGCCTATAAACTAGTAATGGTGATATGTGTTATTAATTCTTCATCTTGGAAACCAAAACCTCAGCTGCCTCCAACTTTCACTTCTTTCTAGATCTCATAATTTTTTTTAAAGAATGTTAAGTTGCTGCTTCTCTGCTCGTAATCTCTCCCTTTCACATTTTCATTTGCTGCAATGCCACCATCTGTTTGTATGTCTTTGCAAAACAGGCCTCCTGTTACTCCCCTGCTTGAAACTCTGTTGTTCCTCCTTGCCATTAGGATGAAATTTTTTAAAAAATTATAATATTCAAAGCCATGAAGAGACCTGGCTCCAAATTTCCTTTCTCTCCTCATCTCTGGCCATTTCCCGTTTCATCCGTGGTTCCCAGTCTTTGGGCACCGCAGGCTGCCGTTGTCGTCCAGGCCCCATCACACCGTAACGGGGCTGCAGGCAGTCGTCCTGCCTGCCTCTACCTCTGTTGCCTCAGCTCAGGATGCTTTCCCTTCCGATCAAGAACAACAATACTTGAACACTTATTTATTAAACACCATGCTTTTCCCTTGTTATCAATAGCTGTATAAATTAACCTTAGATTATGGATTTATCACATTTCTAGAGTCTTGATGTGCGGCGCTATATTTCCGGGCCTAGGTTTGAGACGAGAGGAGGGGTAGAAAATAGTTACCTAGAGGAGTGAGAGGATAAGAGGTTTGGGGGATGTAGTAGGGTTGCTGGGCAGTAGCCCTAAGGCACTACTGTAATTCACTGACATCAGTTTAGAGCGAGACCAAGCAGCACGATTATAGTTTTCTCAGCAATATTCTGCTGCACAGACATCTGTATGATATAAACAGAATTTGGGATTCAGCCAGTGTGGGAACTTGTAGATTATAATGACGAAAATAGAGGGGAGCAAGGACGATAAGAGTGTATTTATATAAGGTAGTGATTGTAATGGTGGACCATGGAGCCAGGCAGGGTAGGGAACTGAGCGAGGAGATCATGGCAGCTTTGCGAGACTGTGGGAAGAGGGGTAGGAGCAAGTGGATTGTGGGTTCTGACAGGAATGAGTAATTGGTAGAGAGGAAACCCTAAGGGAGTGAGGGGAAACAGAAGGCCTAGGCTAGAGAATAGGTGCCGAAGTTGGACTTAGAGCAGAGGGGTGGTTCCTGGCAAGGGGAGAGCCTGGGTGATAACCATGGAAGTGCTGTTTCTAGGTGGGCCGCCTTAGACAGCTCTCGCAGCCTCTTTGAGTCTTGCTTTTCTCCTCTGCAAAATGGAAATAGTGCCAAAAGTTGTCACAAGGATTAAATGATATGATAAGTGTAAAATACATGGCAGAGCACCTAGCATATAGGTTCTTAAAAGAATTTCTTTCATAATCTTGAGTCTCATTTCCTGACCTGAGAAGAATAGCAAAATACCTTTCCTTATGCTTCAAATTTACTTATATGAAGCCTAGTGAAATAAAAAATACTTTAAAAATCACTCTACAATCTATTCTTGTTTTTCTCTAATCAGGATGAAAACCACCACTAGCATTGGAACTGCCGCTATTATGTTAACAAGAAGTACTTTTGTTTTTACTACAATTCTGCTACCATTACTATCTATTCATTTAAAAGACTTTTGTGTGCCACATCATTTGCATTTAATTGTTAAAATAGCTCTGTGAGTTACATGGTACAGATATTTTTGTTATTTCTTCATTTGCCAGTTGAGGAAGTGAAAGTATGGTGAAATGTGTTTTATATGATTATATTTGTTACACTAGAGTTTGAACCCAGGTCTTCCAACTGACTAGTAACTATTGTTGAGAATATGATTGCCTTCTGTAGATCTGCTAATCTCTAAAAATCTCTTTTAAACTCTATAGTAAAAAGATTTTTAACTGTACAATCCGCATTTTACGATACTGTAAAATGAATTTTTACATTCATCCATTCATTCACTTCATTCGTCACATAATTACTGACCTAAATGTTAGGTCATGTGCTAGGTTTTAGGAATACAGTAGTAAGAAAGACATATACCCCTGCCTTCATGAAGTTTTCACTATAATGAGAAGGATAGACTTTAAATAATTACAGAACACTATTTATAATTGAAGGAAAAATGCTCAAGCTACGTGAACAAGAAACTAAGAGGGACTTCATTGAGTCTGAGGCTTTTCTTGGTGGCGATCATAAAAGACTTTCCTAAGGAAGCTGCATTTGAGATGAGATTTGATGGATGAACAGCGGTCATCTAGGGCAGCGATTTTCAACCTGTGTGCAGTAAGAATGTTTAAAACATGCAGTACCTTTATTCAGGAGCGCTGCCCTCTTTTCCCTTAGATTGTTGAATAAAAAAATGACAGCAGCCAACACAATAGCCATCTGGTGTGAATGAATCAAAATTATACCTATTTTTTGGTCATATCAGCAAAAAATATATTCTCATTTTTATTATGATTTTCAAGCATATTTTAATATAAATTAATAGATTACAATGCAGAGTACTGAGTTTTTTCTCAGTGGATTTTTTGAGAAAATCAGTCTTTTGGACTGCTTAGGAGAGCCTGTGTGAGTTTATATCCTGGCTTCAGTTTGTTGTCATGCAGTAGGGCCACGGAGGACGTGAATTTTGCTGTTCATAAGCACACACCGGTGCTTTTATGCTGATAGTTTTCAGTGGCACACCACACCGAATCTTTTTTCGAAAGGGAAGGTGAAATAAATGAATATTTCCATCTCAACGGATTCATTTACCATATTACACAAGCTAATTCTTCACACAAATTAATCATTTCCTTGGTTGAAAAATAGCTTCAAACTTTTTTAGTTCTAAGTGGGATGGGGATGCAGCTCCTTTTTCTTTGTTTTTACACTGTCGTCCATTGACCCCCAGCTAGCATTTTATGTAGCACACGGTGCTGTACATTGCTATAGTAGAAAATCGACATGACACAATAAAGGAAATTTCAGGAGATAAATATTATCCCCTGATAATCAGTGCAAGTATCTCATTTTAAAAAACAAAGTACCATCCATTGTTGCGATAAGTTATAAAATATGTTTGTAACTAGTGCTGGGGCATACTAGAACTGGGTAAGGCATTTAGCAAAGTAGAAGAAAAGGTTTGAAAAGGAAGTTGGCTACACAAAAGCAAAGATGAATAATTCTTTGACTTTACCAAGAGATTGCTGAACACATTTATCAAGCAAAGGTGATGGGATTTGCTTGGAATGACTCTAAGCCAAAATGTGGTGCTACTAAGCATTGTTACAGCAGAGAAAGCGACGTAGAGCAACGATACCATAGACTTCTTTTGTCAGACAAGTAGATTTCTCCAGCACATAGGCAGCTGTTCATGATTCCCGCTCCCCAGCCGTATCAGTTTATGTAAGAGAGTACTATGATATAGTTCCAAGAGAATGTACATTAGAGGTACCCAATCTTTACCTGTGTGACTTAATTCTCTAAATCTCTCTCTGCCTCAGTTACCTCCTAATGACACTTGATATTTATAACGGTGACCCTGAGACAGTGAAGGGCCTGGACAGTCTTATTCACTGATTTTTAAAATGTTGGCTTTGCTGAGAATTATAATCCTTGTATCACTTTACGCTAGTAAGCTGAATAGCTAATCAAAACAGCCAGTCGCTAAGCTGTAAGTAATAGAGTAATAGAGTATATGCTGTTTCTACTTATATATGCTAAAAATATTGCTACCTATCAACCAGTGTAAGTGCACTTTTAACTGTAAAGACAACATTCATTCTGTTTGTCAGTGTTAGCCAGTGAGCAAGAGGTTAGCCAACTTTTTCTCTCTTTTCCCTCCCTAATACTTTTCTGTCCCTCTTTGAACTTAGGAGCATGTATCCTGTGTGGAAATCTTTTCTCGAGGGAACAATGCAGGTAGCCCAGTCTCGGATCAATATATGTGAAAACTATAAAAACTTCATTTCTGAGCCTGCAAGGACAGTGAGAAGCTTAAAAGAACAGCAACTAAAAAGGGTATTGTTTCTATTTGTTTTTTTCTTATTTGCATTTTAATATCTTGGTGTTAACATTTATAATCTGCAAGACTATATTAAATTACGTTTAATACTTGGGGCTTTTCTATTTGGTCACAAATGTTTCTGATTTCAACATGGATTTTCTGATTACAACATGTACCCTCTAACTACTGTTATTTTATTAACTGACAGTGGTGAGTGTAATTTTAATCTGGACATTCTGAAAGCTCTGTAAACACTTAACAAATATTAATTTTCAACCTAACTCAAGTAAATAGATTTTAGTTTCACAATGTTGGTAAAGCTTGGTGTGTATTAAAATAGTTACAATGTTTTAATCTCACTGTGTCTTAAAAAAATTATCATGACTTCAACTTGAGCCATTTTACATAACAATTTAAAGGAAGTTGACACTTTTTGACAAAATATAAAATTATTACCCAAAACAGTGTACTCTAAAGTTTAATTATGTAGGTTATATAAAAGTAAAAGTTTTTGAGTAGATCTTTCTTTGATTATGCAGAAGTTAAAAACTCACAGAAAAATCATTATTAAATGTGACTTTTATGAAACGCTTGCTATTAGAAATAGGCAATTGAATTTTGTCCCTTTTGGAAATAAAGTTACAAAAATAGAGATTATCATGACCGCTAATAAGTAATTAAATTTCTCTTATGGAAGTATTAATACTTTAGAAAATATTAAGGTAATTATTTAAGAAAATAATATTTCAGAAGCCACCCAGTATGATTCTAATTGTCATTTGGATTTTCAGAATTTTTGCACAAACAAAAACAAAATAAAAACCCAACCTTCCTCATTTGTCAAAGATGATTTTAGTAGCGTAAAATCAGTATGTCAATTGTATATTGTGTGTGTAAAATTTTAATCTCTTTCGAGTACTCAGATATCAGCTGGTTTTAGCATACTTGTATAAGAATGCCTGTGTGTTATCTTTGATCAAATACCTCTTTCAAAACAAACATGGTGAATAATTATTCCATGTGCTTTCCATTCAGAAGAAAATATTGTGTATATGTGTGTATCCATTTGTGCATGCTTTCCATTCAGAAGAAAATATTGTGTATATGTGTGTATCCATTTGTGCATGCCAAGAGAAGACAGAAAATTAATACTAGTGTAACTTCCTAACCAGAAATACTGTGTTTCAAAGAGCCAGTGCATTCACCAAATCTGATTGAATTATTAGTATGCCCCACCTTTTTTGCTATCAGAATATTTTGAAAGAGTTCATCACTTGTATGTTTTTCTTCGATTGGTAGAATAGTCTCTGACCTGAATTTAACCAACATTCCTGAGCAAAGAGTGTTTGGTGAGATTTGACAAGCCCTTGTATGTGAATTAACTTGTTTTATATTATAGCTGATAATGATGTCTATGTTTCATCTAAGCAATTGTTAAACATTAGGTACATATTGGGCAGACCTGTCAAGACTCCAATTGCAAATGACACAAACATACTTTAAACCGGTTTAAGCCAAGAAGAAAATGTTTTAGCTTGTAAATTCCAGCATGAGTGGAATCCAGGCAAGGGTGGATCCAGGTGCTCAAATAATGGTATTAGAATTCAATTTTTTTCCCCCATCCATTAGCTCTGCTTTTTCTAATGGCTTCATTCTTTAGTGACTCTGTCTATACAGTGGCCCCAAAGTGCCAGATTTACAAATCTTATAGCTAGCCCTTCCATGGTTTCTATTTTCCCAGTAGTTCCAACAAAACTACCAGAATTGAAACTCATTGGATTATGTTGGGTCACATTCCCCCACCCCACCACTCCACTAGTTAGGAGTTATAAGTCCTCATGCAAACTACAGGGACTAAAATGGGGGAAAGCGATTCTTCAAAGAAAAATGGAGATGGGTTCCCAAAGAAACAGCCAGAAAAAACAACAGATGACCACTCAGTTGGCTCCTCCAGTTTTACCTCCCAAATTTAAACCATCTATTCTTTTTCCTTTTCTTTTAACCTCTGCCCCCTCCCCCTCTTTGGGGGTTTCTTTTGAATTAATCTTTCAAAAAATATTTTATTGTGATAAGAACACTTAACAAGAGATTTACCCTCTTAAGAGACTTTTAAGTGTGCAGTACAGTATTGTCTATAGGCACAATGTTGTACAGCCGACCTTTGGAACTTACTCATTTTGTACAACTGAAATGTATACCTGTTGATTAGCAACTCCCTCTTTCCTTTTCCCCCAGTCCCTGCCAACCACATTCCTCTTCTTTGCTTCAATAAGTTTGACTATTTTAGATACTTCCTGTTAAGTGGAATCGTATAGTATAGTCTTCTGTGACTGGCTCATTTCACAACATAATATTCTCCACATTCTTCCATTTTGTTGCATGTTGTAGGATTTCCTTCTCTTTTAAGGCTGAATAATAATTCATTGTGTGTATGGGCCATGTATTTTTTATACATTCATGTGTTGATGGACATTTTGGTTGTGTCTACATTTTAGTTTTTGTGAATAGTGCAGCAGTGAACATGGGGGTGCTAATATATCTCTTCCACATCCTGATTTCAGTTCTTTTGGGTAAATGAACTGAAATCCAGAATTGGGGTTGCTGAATTATATGGTAGTTTCTGTTTTGATTTTTTGAGGAACCACCATACTGTTTTCCATAGCAGGTGCATTATCTTGTATTCCCACCAACAGTGCACAAGGGTTCCAATTTCTCCACCACCTTGCCAACACTTACTGTCTTTTTTAAAAAAAATAACCATCTTGCCCTTGCCAGTGTGGCTCAGTTGATTGGAGAATAGTCCCAGGGACCCAAGAGTCGCACTTTTGATTCCTGGTCAGGTCACATGCCTGGGTTGTAGGTTTGGTCCCTGGTCAGGGCAAATATGAGAGACAACCTGATCGATGTGTCTCTCTCATATCAATGCCTCCCTCTCTCTCTTCCTCATTTGTTCCTCATTTGTCCCTCCCTAAAATCAATAAGCATATCCTCAGGTGAGGATAAAATAAAAAATAATAATAACTATCCTAACAGGTGTGAGGTAATATGTCACTGTGATATTAATTTATATTTCCCTGATGATTAGTGATGTTGAACAGTCTTATAGTTTTTATTATCAGTTTTTTTCTCTATTAGCTTTTTATTTTATAATCTTATGTTATTCTTTTTTGTAATTACTTTAGAGATTCCAAAATGCCTCCCTGACTTATGGTTTACCTCAAATTGGTGCTTTTATTATTTGACTATTCCCCAAACTTTACTCTAAATTAATTTATTACCTTGAATTAGTATTTTACTACCTCAGTAACAATATAAAAGTCAGGGAATCACCAGGTTGGGTTGAACCTTGTTAGCTAGGTTGGTGGAGACTCAGATACATGGTGCCCACCCGCTGGCTCTGTAGGGGGAAGGCTCAGAAAGGGAACAATGGCCTCTACCAGTCTGTCTGGGAAAAAGCTGTCCCCCAGCTCTCGTCCTGAAGCCAGACAATGCAGTTCCTTCCTTATGTCCCTGGCACCTTTCGAGCTGCTGCCCCAGCGCTGGAGCCCAGAGCAAGTGGATCTGAGTAAGTCAGTGCTTGGGCCTTTTAAGGGGAACTGCCTGGGGACTCCAGAAGTCTTGTGTCTCATTAGCTCCCTGCTGCTTATCACAGCCAGAAGTTACGGGGACCTTCCTTCCTGGCACTGGAACTTTCCCCCAGCTGCGGGTTCTGATGTGGGTCTGGGACCTCTCACTCTTTAAGGGGGACTTCGGAAGTCGAGATATTTCTCCTGGTTTTTGACTGGCACATGTGGGTGTACAACCAGCCTGTTCAGCATCCCTGCATCTCCTACCAATCTTGATGTGGCTTTTTCTTTTCCTTTTTTTAAATCTTCACTTGACATTTTATTGATTTTAGAGAGAAAGAGATATCGATTGGTTGCCTCCTGTATGCGCCCTGACCAGAGATTGAGCCCGCAACCTTCTGGTATACAGGATGACACTCCAACCACAGAGCCTTTTACTTTATATCCTTAGTTATAGGACTTCTGCTAGATTTCAGGTGTTCTGAATGATGCTTTTTCTGTAATTTAGTGTAATTTTGATGTGATTGTCAGATGTTCCGAGTGCTACATTTACCTTTGCCATCATCTTGACTGGAAGTCCTCATATTTCTACAAAACTTTTATGCTTATTTTTTAATTTCTGAGTGACTTATTTATTCCGCTTTATTTAATTATACCTCTATTTAATCATACCACTATATCTGCAATAAAAGTTAACTATTTTCTTTTATTTTCTTAGGATAAATTTCCAGGACATGACTACTGGGTCAGAGAACCTACTAGTTTGTAGGACTTGGATGTATTGGCCCAAATTACTTTTATTTTTATTCCTACTTTCAAGTTATTACCGTCTATCTGTCCCATCTATTCATCTATCTATACTATTTCTGTATCATACTCAAAGACCATACTTTTAATTTCTTCACTGGGATCTGAATTATAATATCGAAGTCTGTCATCACTTTGTATGATCCCTTAGCCTTAGTGTGAACTTCTGCGCTCACCTCTGTGTCTGCTCGGTCCTGATAACTCTTGGGGAAGGGCTCGGCTTGTGTCACACCAGGGTCTTTCTTAACACAGGCTTTATTAAGCTGCTTTTTAAGTAACTTAAGGACCCCAGAAAAGTGTATTCCTACAAAAGAAATTTATTTTAAAAATTGGAAAGGAAATTCTAAGTAATCTTTTCCTTTACAAATTAAGTTTTATAGATTCTTAAAATAAGTATTTTTGATATTTTGCTACACGGAGAGCACTTTGCTTTGAAAAAGAACCCTGATTAATCTGAGTTGAAATAGTTCTCTTGGGTGATGGAGAACACTTGGTTGTAGGTTTACTGAATGCCAGGGAATAAAGGACCTCAAGAGATCTCTTCAGTGTAAATATAGGATATCTCTAATATTTTGATAAATAGTATCTTAGAAACTTATGTAAAGGGAAAAAAGCAAGTAGGAATAGTCTCAACCAGAGTTTTCTTATAAGATTTTTTTGAGAAATGTTTTAAAGATATGAACTACCACAAAATGCATCTGATATTGTGGCACATAGAGAAAATAATAGCCTTTATTTACTTTTTAAATTAAATTTATTGGGTGACATTGTTTAATAACATTTATATAAGTTTCGAGTGTGTGATTCTATAATGCATCACCTGTGTACTGCGTTGTGTGCTCACCACCCAAAGTCTATAGTCTAGTCTCCTTCTGTCACTATAGATATGACCTCCTTTGCCCTCTTCATCCTCTGCCTCCCCTCCTCCCCTCTGGTAACCACCATACTGTTGTCTATGAGTTTGTTTGTTTTGTTTGTTCCTGTGTTGCTTTCTTTTATATCCCACATGTGAGTAAAATCATATGGCTCTTGTCCTTTTCTGTCTGACTTATTTTGCTTAGCATGATACTCCCAAGATCCATTCATGTTGTCTCAAATGGCAGTATTTCATCCTTTCTTATGGCTGAGGAGTATTCCATTGTATACATGTACCACATCGGGTTTATTTAGTTATTCATTGTAGGACATTTAGATTGTTTCCATGTCTTGGCTACTGCGAATAATGCTGCAGTGAATATAGAGATACATATATCTTTACAAATAAATGTTTTCAAAGTTTCAGGTAGATACTCAGAAGAGGGATGGATGCATATGGTAGCTCAAACTTTAAAAATCTCTATCGGAAGTTTGCTCACCCACAACTAAGGAGAGCTATCTTGTTCTTCAAGGGGTCTGGATATAAGGAGTGAGCAGCTCTGTGTGTATACATACATATGTGCTCATGTACAGGTACCTGTGGTGTTCACTTTGTGTGGATATACCCCATCCACATGGCTTCCAGTCTCCTAGAAAACCTTCACCCTACTATGTTTAGTTTCCTCTCAAAATATGCAACTTAGCTAACACTTTCATGGCATGTATATCACCACGGGACTCTCGGGCTTCCCTTCATTGATAAGTTTTTCTGAGGCCAAGCTTGTTTTGGATGAACATTATGGATATAGACACCTTACCCCTGAGTCCTCTTTTAAATAATTGATACCATTTTCCCATTAAACACAGTTGTGTCTTTCAGACCATGCTCTAGTTTGGGTTCTTATACCTCATTGTAGCCTTGGAGTGCTGTCTCAGCTCTTCACACCTGCAAACATGCCATTATTGGGATGTTTTTCACTTCTCTATGGGATTCTCAGGTTGTAACAGTATTATTTATTAAACAAGAGGTTTGTATATGATAAGGACTATTAAAATTAAGGAGAAAGATTTTTCTGCAAGATAAAAACTTACTATTTAAGATTTTTTTTTGCAATGAAATATTATGCAGCCATAAAAACAAATGAGTACTTTAAATCTAATATAACATAGATGAATCTTGAAAACGTTTTGTTAAGTGAAAGAAGTGAGACATAGAAGGCCACATATTATATTATTATATTTATACGAAATGTCCAGAATAGGAAATTCAGAGACAGGAAGTAGATTGGTGGTTGCCGGGGCTGTGGATAGGGAGAGATGGGGATGACTGCTAATGGGTATGGGGTTTCTTTTAGGGTCATGAAAATGTTCTGGAATTAGTGGTAAGGATTTTACATCCTTGTCAATATACTGAACTGTAAGCACTTTAAAAAAGTAGATCTTGTGTTAAGGGAATTATATGTCCATTCTTTTTAAAGCTTACTATTTTAAAATAAAGTATCTCTATATAAGACCTTAAAAACATGGTCATCAGAACTGGAGTACATGCTATAATGGTTACATGGTAAATGATACCATTACTTCCTCACGGTATGACTTCAGGTAAATTTAACCTAAGTCTATATCCCCATCTTAAAATGGGACTAATAATATGAATACTCCTATCACAGAGTCTTTTGGAGGACTAAATGAATAATATCTATAAAGCGCTAAGCATAGTGCATTGCCCACAGGGACTCTTATTAAATATAACTAAGCATTCAGACACTCATGACTATCACAGGCCACATATGGCAGGAGGTTTACCTAGAAGGACATTGGGGCAGGGAACTGGGTCAACCCGCAGAGTGGCATCCCATATTAGTACAATTGGTTCTTCCACCAGTGCATACCTCAGTCTACACAGCCAGCTGGAGTTGCTCTGTTTGGTCCCCAGGTGACATGCCTGGGAGGAGGGAATGAGACTCACATGTGCAGGGGGAGCCACAGGCCCTAAAGGAGGCCAAAATCTTTTATTCCAACTCTGTAAACAGCTTCCAAGTTCCCTGCAAGGGACAGGTCCAGATACAGGAATCACCATACTCAAGCCCAAAGCCAAGGCTTCTCCATCAGATATTTATAGTTCATTTATAGTTTCTCCAAATTGATGCAATTTGCTTTTCAAGGTTCATAAGCAATGCTGCCGAGTAACAGAGCTGACATTGTCTTCATCAGGTTGCCATTGAAACACAGACCTAAAGCTCGAGTTTTCAAGCAGAGGGGAAAGAGGTGTTATTTTTAACCCTTTATTCACAGCCTGACACTGAAGCACCCGATAAATGTGCCCCTAGGTAACCTTTCAAATCTCTCACTTCTTTGCAAAGTAGTCTCTTTCTTGACACCCAGCAATTTCTGGGAACCTTTATCCTGTGCATCACATAGCTAGGTTCAAGTTTATTTGTGCTTTATCCTTGCTCTTCTCCACACTGTGCAGCCTGGCCCAGTGGTCCCTCACCAATGTCTCATCCGCTTTGCTGAGCTTTTGTCCATCTGCACCAGCCATAGACTACCCTGAACTGGCCTCAGGCTGGAGAAAATTTTCCGTGGTTTGTTTCAATCTAGGAGAAATTATTCCCCTTTGTAGACCCAGAAGGGTCCCAAAGTAGTGTTACTTTGGCCCCAATGTATTATAAATTTATTAGTTCAACATTTCTTGGAGTTATTATTATGTCTCCTCTGTCTCGAATGTATATGTGTATCCAAAAAGGTGGGGGTAGTTTTGAGTAATAATTATTATGGTGCTATCCAGGTTTCTTGCTTCTCTCCTTCATCTGGGGCTTATGTCAGACTTCTCAGATTTCACTCCTCTTCTAGGCATGAGTTCGTCAGGACCCTTTGCACCATCAGTTCCCCAAACGTAGAGAAGCTTTATTAAGATCATGAAGAAACACAGAATTGCTTTATTCTTTTGCCTTTATTGCCATGGTAGCTCCAACAGTGAAAGCATTTTCATTGTTGCTCTCCTTGGGCCTTACCTTAATCTCAGCCATCAACACTCAAGAAATTATTTCTCAAAACAGAGTTGTTAAGCAAGCTGTGACACTATATCATACATTACTTGAAATTGGAGTACCAGCTGTTCGCTGGATTTTAATTTTCAATTTGAAGGAGACCAGAAGTGCTGATTCTTCTCCCAGGTTCCCATCCTTAGGAAAAACCCATTTCTGTAAGCCTGAAAACTGAAATCATAATAATTGCACTTTGTATTTTACAGTGTATGGACCAGTTGACAAAGATCCAAACTGAATTACAAGAGACAGTGAAAGATTTAGCTAAAGGCAAAAAGAAGTACTTTGAGACCGAACAGATGGCTCAAGCAGTACGAGAGAAAGCTGACATCGAGGCAAAGTATGTGTTTTAGCATTTCTGAAAAAGTGATTTCGCAAATAAATGTTATTTTTGCCAATACTTTGTTTTCTATTAATACTGAGCATAGAATCTTTTTTAGGTTATGGTGGTTTTTATCTGACCTGTAAATGTTATGTACTTTAAATCAAAAATTTACTTTATATTAGCTAATTTTACTTAAAATAATATAGCAAAATGAGAAGATTTGATCAGTCAGTTTTTACATTAAATTGAATGCTTGAAAGAAGACAAATGAACATGGTACTGAAAGCTTAGCGAATGTCCAGTTTAAGTTGCTATGGTGTGTGATTATCAGGTTTTAAAAGCCTCCTTTTTCTCATGCCAGACTCTAAGTTAATTGTAGTTTGGAGTCCCTTGTCCTCAGCCCGCCATCGGAGGACCAGGGCACAGCAAGTGAGCAAGAGCACTGACCTCCATGTAGACAGCCTGCCCAGGCTCAGTTTTTCTCTTATGTGAAATTCTAACAGATACACTTTTTTATGTCTGCTTTACCAATTGTGTGAATTTTACTTCCATATTTGTGATGTACAAATTCTTTATTTTGAGAATGATTAGGAAAAGAGGGAGCTGGCCATTAGTAATAGAAAGAGCTAATAAAACAAGCAGTAGAGTAGAGATTTCTGCAATGGCAACTTGAGAAAAGCTGAGTTTTTGAGAAAAAAATAAGCCTGTGTTATAGAATGGGACTCTGAAGAGGTCTGTGAGGAGAGCTAAGACTTCCATTCAGTGAACTCACTGACATAAAAGCTAGGAATCTGAGCTCTGAGTCATGAAATCCGAAAGGCTATGAACACTTGTACAGACTAGCAAGACCTGGGGAGTGTCTTTTTAATATTTTTTTTATGTATTTCCAAGAAATTATGCAATTTCTTAAGTATCTTGTGATTGTGAAAATTTAAGTTCTTCTGGGAAGTGTATTTGGTACTAAGGGGTAGTAATTGAATATTCATGAAATATTTAATGTCACTGGGAAGTATATTTACTATATAACTACTTCCCTAATTTATTGTCTTTATCATTTTATTTTGCGAGCATACAAATATTTCCTGTAGAGTGAATGAACCCATCTTCCCAATAAGACCCAATTTTTTTATTTTTTTTTAGAGCGAGAGGAAGGGGGAGAGAGAGAGAGAGAAACATTGGTTTGTTGTTCCACTTATTTATGCATTCATTGGTTGATTTTTGTGTGTGCCCTGACCAGTGATCGAACCCACAACCTTGGCCTATCAAGATGACACTCTAGCCAACCCTCTGACCAAAAGAGCTACCCAGCCAGGCCCCAGTAAGATCCAAAATATTTTAGATCAGGTGATCTCCATTAGGAATATCCTGTTTTGGTAGTTTTTAGGAACTTGTTTGTTAAAACTCTCAGGGATTCTAGAACAGAGAGTTGGCAGATTTGTAGAACATACAGAAATACCCACATGAGCTAGGGGCCTGCAGGGTGAAAACAATGACAGTTGCAGGGCTGTTCCTGAGAAGTGTGGATTTGACAGGGTCAAGTTATCACAGATGCCGATCACAGGAACTGCCTTCTGATATGGCCCAAATTCAAAGGGGATACAGCAAATTAGACATTTTAGTTCAGTGTGTAACTTTTCTGGAAAATTAATCCAACTACAGAGTAAGAAATGCCTTTTCATCCTCACTCACTCACTAATTGTTTATTGAATAATTAGTTTATGTTGGGTGCTGTGAGTACAGAGATGAGTGAGATAAGTTTGTGCCCTGAAGAAGTTTAAAACCTAGAATGAAAGACAAATGTATTTCAGTGACCTTGTGATATGTTTATTCACAGTAAACTTAAAGAAGTGCCTAAAGTCACTTACCTAGTAACTAATTTATTTACAGTAGTTGTATGATAATATGAAAACATGGGGACTAGATTTTGCCTAATGTAAAAGGGAATCTTTATAGAAGAGGTGATGCTCGGACAGAGTCTTGGAGAATGAATATGATTTTTCTAAGTAGAGACAAGAAGGAAGATCAGGAAAGGGGAATGAAAGCTGGACTACGTGTAGTTTTGATAGATGATTTTACAGATGGTGAGATGTGCACATAGAAGAAAGAAGGATGCACTTTGAAGGTCAAGATTAGTTCTATTTTGGGTAGGACATTGGTGTGAATATATTTGGTAGGGAGTCATATAACTAACTCACTTTCAGATGAGAATCTGGGTGGAAAGTTCACTTTGGGTGTTAATTGCCTTTCAGATAATAGTTATAAAGATGCAATCATATATAAAAATGAGATGAGAGTTGAGTTTGGAACCCTAAGTAATATTAGCATTTGGGAGGTAGATGATGAAGAGTTCATTATTTGTATATATCTTGTTTGTTCTAGATAGTAATCTTTGAGGACAAGGACTGTATTATTCTATTTATTACCAATACCTACTTTAGTACCACACAGGAATTATATGAGGAGTCACAAATAAAGCAGAAGCCAAAAACTTAAAGCCTTAGATTGGAAAATCCAGGTGCAACTCAGACTATTTGGATGATGATGACAAAAAGAGGAGAATTGAGAATACCCCCAAACTGTTTTTCTTAACCCTAAACAGACCCTCTCAAATTTTACAGTCTGTGGCCTTTGCTTTTCCAGATCAAAATGAATACAAATCTAATTAAAAAAAACCAAAAACCCCATGGAGCATGAATATGGCAAAGTAGGAAATAGCAGGAATATCTTGGACCCAATTTTTTTTGAACAGTGGGGAAGTAGTTTGGATGCATCCATGTTCCTCCCTGAGTGTTTCTCTCTGGTTAGAAGATGAGACGCTGCTTTTCCTACCCCCCTCTCTTTGCTCTGTGGAGCCTGGCTTGCTCTGTGGTCTGCAGTGTTACCTCATGTTATGGCATAGCTGCTAGCACAGGCATTGAAGTCTCCCATGGCAATCACCATGACACTGCAGTCAGGACAAACATTGCAGCTTCAAAAGTCACTGGTCATGGGAGGGGTGACTGTTTCTTAGTATTTGTCTGTTGACTTTCTTCTTTGTGGTAATCTCTGGTTGTTTGGGCAAAAGCAACATATTTTTATTACTGACTGTTAGATTACGGTTCCCCTCCCGTACTGAAAGGGATTGAAAGAAATAATGATGCCAGATTTGGAGAAGATAAAATAGAACAAAATCATATAGAGTAGAGAGAGCACACAGGCAGGCACCCAAATAAAGAATTAAGACTTTCTAGAGCCTGGTCAGTATCACACTGTAGACTGCATTCCGGCATTTTCGGAGCCCAGCACACACTGCCTGGAAAGCCTGCTCATGTTTGTTTCCATAGGTTGGTTACCCCTGGACTTTACACTTCCTTGCAGGAATTCAAGTGTGTATAATTGTATGATATGGGAATAACCATAGTTTAATGACTCTTGTTTGTTATGAAACACCAATATATTGGATTTGTCTGATATTTTTTCATTGAGAATATTTTTATTTTATTAATCTCAATATTTTGTGTTTCACCATAATATTAAATTCTCCCTGTAGTAAAATAAAGGCAAATAAACATTGATCTTGGTTTTCCATTTTTTTTAGTTCTCTTTTAGAATAATGTTGTGAAAAATGGTAACTTTTTAAAAATTTAGTAATTATATTTAATTATTTTGATATAATTTGATAATTTTATGTATACTTTTCTGTTTTTATTACAGATCTAAGCTTAGTCTTTTTCAATCAAGAATAAGTTTACAGAAGGCAAGTGTGAAGGTGAGTTTTTGAAAACCGTATCTCACAATTGAGAAACCTTATCTTGAAAAACGTAGAGGAATTTGATCTCTTGATGGTGGAGGTCAATTATTTTCAACTAATCCAGAGAAGCATTTTAAAGTCGTTAACTTAGGGAAAAACTTTCCTTCCCAGCTCATGGGGGTGGGGGGTTCGCCCCCGTGTCAACACTTTGGACAGTGCTTGCCTCTCAAGATTGCTTTGCAGATAGGTTTCTGTATTTCTCTGCTTAGGTAACTTTATGTCTTTCACTCTTAGTATAAGAGACTTGGTCCGTGGGATTTAGAACTCCGTTTCATTGAGATTTCCACCCTGAGCAGAAATTTTGGGCCATATGCGAGCGATTTTTTCCTGTGGGACCCTCAGGCTGTGAAGTACTGATAAGAAAGCTTAGTGACTTGGCTCTGCCGCCAGGCTCCCAACCAGCATGCAGTCCTTTTCGCACAGCACTAGTATTGCATTTTTAAAAACTATTTTCTAACTCCAACAGATTTACCCATGTCTTTGAAGATAAGGGGAGGGTCCTTAATTTGGGAACCTTTATTTTTCCCATCTGGATCAAATGAGCAAAATACTTTGAAGTTCTCTATAAAGCTTTAGAAGTATGTTAAGTATAAATAACAAATATTTGAAAATACTCTTACCAGGTTTAACCGTTCTAATCACTGTTTATTTAATTCCTTAATAGTGTGAATAGTTTTTATATGCATATCAATGTTTCTCCACGTGATTACCTTTACTCTTTCAGAGTAGCCATTAATTGCCAACTAAGAAAGGTATTCTCATATGTTTTGCAGCGTAATATCAGTTTGCACTGATTTTTTTTCTTTTATTATGTTTTAGTTAAAAGCCCGGCGAACTGAGTGTAATTCCAAAGCTACCCATGCAAGGAATGATTATCTTCTTACGTTAGCAGCAGCAAATGCACACCAGGATCGCTACTATCAAACAGATTTAGTTAACATTATGAAGGTAAAACAGCCTGAATATCTCTGGTAATTTTGTTTCATTAAAGACAAAAGCAACTGATACGTTGGGTATTCAGTACTCAGGATTGAGGTTGTAGAATAGCATCCAGGCTACTTTTCATTTTCTTGGAATATACTTGATATTGTTTGGGTCACCTGTGTCTCAGGTAATTCTGAATCAATTTTTAGTATAAGAAAATGTTTAAAGCCAAATCACAGTAAAGGATTGTATTATTCCCTAGCAGCAGAAAATATTTACTGTTTAAGGGTTATTAATATATAAGACTACTTTTAAAAGCGTAGATTTTTAAAAATTCTATAATTTTAATTGACAGGTAAACTTATATGTTAATGTTATGCTTTTGAGGTGCCTAAGGAAAATCAAGAAAAAATGTCTACTAGTTATGTGACCATATCTCTATCCTAGGTATCGCTCTGAAATGTAGGTAGATTGGATTACAGTGTCTTGTGTGCCCAAACTCGATCTTGGCCTTTCCCTTTTTATACACTATATGTATTTTTGACTTTCAACTACAGTTAAGGAAAAGGGGTGAAAGAGAAGAAAACTTTTTTAACCTGCCACCAGGTTTCCCCTTGTTACTGGTTGACAAGTTCTACTTTGAATTATATCTCCTTCTATTTTGTCTTCTCAAGAACCCAAACATTTGATTACTCTTTATCCTGTACTTTCAACCCATCCCTCTCAAATGCATTGTCCTTAATGACTATCAAATACATCGCTTTCATTGAATTGCTTGCTTTATGAATCAGAGGTGTTGAGAATGGGGATGCAACAGGAGTGGGCGCTCTTTTTTCTCCAGCGGCTCTGGGAGAGTTCTTTCCTTAGAGTAGAGACAGGGCTTTTCCTGGGACCTTCAGGGGAAAATGGGAGTGGTAAAGAGAGTCAAACTGGACTAAGAAGTATCCTGTTGCATTATTTTTTTTTTTCCTTTTTGTTCACTGCCTGAAACCCCCTCTTCCTAGCTTCTATCCTGTCCTGACTTCTGCTGGTTAGAATATAGGCAGTGAGAGAGACAAGGGATTGTTTTGACATCTCATATGAAAACTTGGCATGCATTTTCCCATAAAATTTGGGACCTAGAAATTTAGCCATTTTAACATCCTATTGGGTGCTTTAGCATCTCATACAGTGCTTCAGACTTGGCTCAGAGGAACCAACTGGAGACTTGGCTTCCCATTATAACACAGTTTTAAACGACTTGTTTATTAAAGCTTTTTAAGTGTAGGTTTTACTTAAGGTTGTATTTTCTGTATGCTTTTGCTATTAAATCAAAGCTGTTACCTCTATATTTTTCTTCATTGGATACTTTAAAATGAACATTAGTTTTAGAAGCAGCAAAATCAAAATGTTTATGTTTTTTAAATTGAATCTACAACCAAAAATGATCTCTTACGTAAAATCCTATGTATGGTCTTTGATTAACCAGGAAAGGTACAGTATTATTTTAGGAATATGCCCTCAACCCAAAACATAGAATGTAATGGGCCTGGTCTACTCTCAGGCATGTTTTTGATCAGCATTTGAGTAGGTTATGCTTCAGATTATTCATTTCATGAAATATTATAGGGTACTGAAATGATAAAGATAGAAGCAGGAGTTCTTCCTGTTCCTTAAAAATAAGAAAGTCTGTCTTAATTTTCATGTTGTGCATGTTAATTCATTTTCTTTATCATGCTAATTCTATAGTCTATGGTATTGGAAAACTCCATTAATCATCCTGTTAACTACTCAGTAAGTTTCTGTCATTGAATTGACAGTGGAGTGGCCAGCTCTTTAGTGCCTTTCTTGGAAATGTCTTTTTTTGAATTGTTTTTAAGGTTATAATGCTTTAGCTAGAATCTTTTTTAAAAAATAATGTGAATAGCTTGGAAGCCTGAGATTTGAATCATATACATTTAATAGTCACTTATAGTATAGCAGTTACTGGACTAGACTTTGGGAAGAAGCAAAGATGAGTAAGGCATTCTCCTTATCCTCAAAGAGCTCAGTCTGGAAGAAGAGAGAGAGAGAGAGAGAGAAATGATTGCAAGTTAGAATAATCAAGTCACTTACTGTTAGAGGACCATGATTGGTAATAATAGCTGTCTTTTTTTTTTTAAATACGTATAGTGCTTGATATCACACTGGAATTACTCTAATCACTTTAGGCATATTACCCTTTCTCATTTTCCTGGCAAGAGCTCATAGTTTATTTTTTAAATAAACGCTAGCCCAGCAATTTTCAACCAGTGTGCTGCAAGAATATTTAAAACATGCAATACCTGACTCTTTATTCAGGGGCACTGACCTCTTTTTCCTTAGATTGTCAAATAAAAAAATTACAACAGCCAACACAACAGTAGCTGTCTCGTGCGAATGAATCAAAATTATACCTATTTTTTTTGTCAGATCTGCAAAAATACATGTTTTTTTTTAATGTGTACTGCAGAATTTTAGTAATTAGTTTTTATGTTCCATGAAATGAGAAAGGTTCGAAATCACTGCTCTAGCCTAAGAAACCCCAGCACTGGATGAACTCAGATAACCTCTTTTCCTGTACCTGCTTCTGAGCAGCCAAGTGTTGCTGAAGAAAATCTTTCAACAGCAGATTCATAATCATAAATTAGTGTGGAACCCATCTCAAGTGGACCCTTAACACTGCTCAGATTTCCTACTGTATTTTTCTGGTTAAGTTTCCCTCTTATTTTTAACTATTTTTTCAACTTTTTTCCTTCTCCTCAAGCCTGAAGCTTTACTCTTTTATTTTCACATTTAGCAAGTGGTCTTTCTTCGTAATTTACAGAGGAAATAGAAGCCATTAAAAGGGAACTCCATTATTGTCCCATTACCTGCCTTCATCTGTGTTCAAGACTCCAAGGAGTCTCAATAGCTCTTATTCCTCCTTTCCAAAGATGATCTTTTCACCTTTACTTTGGGTCATACCTCATCCTCTCCTGCCTTCTCAGATCAAAACAATTGATAATTCTATTTTCTCCTCACTTTTCTTGGACATTCCATTCGTAGATTACCAGTTGATGGGAACATTGTGATGACATTATATCTGTTTCTTGTGTTAGATGTCTCTAATCTGGAGTAAGGACACTCCACATCCGATGCAGTGCAATTATTCTGAGATCTTCCTTTGCCTCTCTTCTATGTTGGATCTCCAGTTTTCTGTATCACATGTGTTCTTTTCTCCTGGTTTACTCTGTTCTCCTCCAGCACCTTCTTGAGAGAGTAAACATGGGAGGTAAGTCTTTTGAGATACTATGTTTATGAAAAAGTCATTATTCTGTGCTAATACTTGGGTATAGAATTAAAGGTTGAAACCATTTTTATTCAACTATTGAAGTCAGTACTCTTATTTTCTTGTTTCCTGTGTAGGTATTGAGAATCCAAAGCCATTCTGATTCTTGATTCTTTGTATCTGCTCTAGTTTTTTTTTTTATTTTTTGTCTTTTTATGTAGCTTATGTAATATTCTCAGTATGCCCTTTGAATCTTGGATTAATTCTTCCTTTTTGTTTTGTCTTTTTGAAACTCCTGTTATTAAGTTATTGGATATCCTCGCCTAATTCTGTAAATTCCTTTTTTTCTTTTGTTTTCCTCCTTTGTCATTATGTACTACTATCTGGGAAACTTCAATTTTGTAGTGCAACTCTTATTAAGTGTTTAGTTTTTTTCAACATGGTTTCACTATCCAATCGTTCCTTTTTATTCCCTAAATATTCCTTTTTATAGAAGATTTTTGTGCTTTATCTTTTTTTAAAAAATTCTGACGGTGTCAGAATAGGATTTATTTTAAAGTTTTCTTTTCTCTGCGTAGTCTTTGTTTGAGACAGTATTTAACAACTTTGAGCTTCACTCTAGGGTGGTCTGGTAGGCCTTTGTAGAGGAAACCCTAAGTCAGTGTCCCTAAATCTCTGTGCTTGGGTTGCTCCCTTCATTACTTCTTCAGATCTCCTCTGTGACACTCTCTGAGGAAGACTTCCATGACCTCCTTCAGCTGGAGGTCTTATGAAAGTAAAGCACTTAACACAGCTGTAGTTTTACATGTATCTGTGTGATTATGTGGTAAATGCCTCACCTCCCACTTAACTATGCACTCCATGAGGACAATGATTGTGTCTATGTCGTTTGAGACTACTTCATCCTTGCTACCTCCTACCGTATGTGTTAAATGTTTGTAAATTAATATTATTGAACGAGTGAATGAACAACCAATTGTGTTTTAATGTTCACAGGCTGAATTATTCCCATTTTATGAAGGAGGAAATTATGACAAAGTCTGGATTCAACTCTGGCAGGTCTTTGCCATCTGAGCCAGTGCCTTTAGCTCTTTATATAAACTATCTCCTCTTTCTTTGTTAAATGGAGGATAATTCAGCACTGCTTTGTCCCCTTTGGCTTCTGTGAGGAGCAAATGAGATAATAAAAAGTGTTTTTGTTAATTTTGAAACTTGGTATACATGTTATACATTGTATTTTTAAAAAGGTTTTACATATTTATTTTTAGAGAGAGGTAAAGGAGGGAGAAAGAGAGAAACATCAATGTGCTAGAGAAACATCAGTCAGTTGCCTTTTGCAGGCCCCCAACTGGGGACCTGGTTTGCAACTTGACTAGAATTGAACCAGTGACCTTTTGGTTCACAGGCTGGCACTCAATCCACTCAGCCATACCAGCCAGGGCTAGATTTTATTTATTTTTATAGAGAGAGGGTAAGTTAGGGAAGAAGAGTGGGAGAGAAACATCGATGTGCAAGGGAAACATTGATGTGCAAGAAACATCAATCAGTTGCCTTTCATACTCCCCCAGGCATAGGCCCTGACTGGGAATTGAATGAGTGACCTTTTGATTTGCAGGCCAACACTCAGCCCCTGAGCCACACAAACCTGGGCATATACGTGGTCTGTCCAGAAAGTATCCAGCCATGCACTATGAAAAATAGAGACATTTATTTAAGAAGAAACAGGATACGAGAAACATTGTACGTAGGACAATGA